CCGGCTTCACCTACTGCAATTGTTCGATTTCATCTTCTTTTGTAATTGAGATTGACATCTTCGACGGTGCATTTTGATCCGATCCGACTGATAATTTCTGACAAACGAGAGATTTAACGAAAAAAAAACGAATGAGTTTCGTTTAATTACGCTTTTAAGTGCCCCCTCCCCTCCTTCTTTACATTTTCATTTATAATCTGTTATCTGATCGCCAATAAAATAAATTCATCCGCGCTTATCTCACGATAATCTGCTGTCCCTTTCACAGTCACATTGATCTTGAGCTAGCGATATTTTTGCTGAATACTCAACAACTTAATGTGATGATCTTGTTGTTGTTTAATACCAGTCAAATGAATAATTGTTTTCCAGTTTTATGAAATGATTTTTTGATTACTCTTCGAAATCGGCATTCATTGGCGAGGTGAACACATGGCAATTATTGTCTTTACCAGAATATCTGTTTGATTTTCATTCGCGACGATAACTTCAACGCGACAACTTATCGTGACAATCTCAGTTGAGCATTTATGTATCGTTCGTGATGCTCGATAATATTCGTGAACTTGTTCCGTTTAACAAAATTATTTCTCACAATTCGATTTCAACTAACCTCAACTAATAAGCAAACGTCTTGTGAGTGGATAAATGTATTGTGCTATTTAGATCGGAGTCATTTGAACTAATGATCATTAACGTATTGTTTCTCGTTCAGATTTATGATCGCAATGCCTAGTTGAAATCGTTATCTTATTCTGGACACTCTGAGAGATTAATTGTTTGTTGCGTTTTGCATTGACAAAGCAACTTAGAATGTTTCTTTTGAACGCGCCTTGCCTCCTTCGAATCCTTTTTGGATTCAATTTTATAATATGAGCTTAATGATTTCATAAATTCGCCGATGTCTGTATTACATTTGAAAAAGTTGAAGTTCTTAAGGATTTTTCTCACATCACTGGTTCATATAAATCGCATGTTTTCACTTTTCACCGTGAATCATGATAATAAATCGACAACAGATTTCGTTTCAGCTAGATGTTGTTATTCCTTAAGAAATCCAAGTTAGCAAAATGATCAAATGAACTTAAGGGCAATAAAACTATGAATATTGACTGTGTATTGTCTCCGCATTACAGTTTGTTCAAAGGATGAAAATTTTGATCTACAAGCCAAAAATTGCCCCAATTTCAGAGATCATGTTAAGAAACGTCACACGTCAGCGTACACTGCTGTTGCAATTCGTGATCGTCAGTGCCATTCAGTGGCTATCAATTGATTGCTATGAACGTATTGAAATCTCGGATATTGGTCTTGACGTGTTGCCTCGCACCACACCGCCCGAGGTGAACGGAGTGAAGAATTTGCAACGTTCGCGAACGTTAATCGGCCGAAGTATTGTCAAGCAGAAGCTGGATCATTTCAGCGACAACGGAACCAACCACTGGAATCAGGTGAATATCATGTTGTCCGCATAGATTTTATTAAAGCAAAAGAAAAACCGTATACAGAATAACTCAAATTGCTCACGATCAATTGAATTGTAAGTGAATATCTCAGTGATTCTGATTTATAGCCTTCTTGATAGGACAGTTTTAATCTGGATCATAGACG